TCCTAGCCCATGGACTACTCACGACTGTGGAACGCAGCCGATGGCGAAGCCCACGAGACCTCTGAGGGTTAGGAGCCAGGCATAACTGGGAGCCACCGAGCTCAGAATACTGTACAGAACCAAGAGTACTCCGAACAAGGTGAGGGCCTGAAAATGTGGTATTAGCGTAGATTAGCTGCGCACCTGCCCGTCTTACCGACTTTCGCCCATATCGGTTGCTCAGCTGCGTCCAGAAACTGGAACTCAACATCATGCCCAAAAACACAACGGTTGTGACGGATGCCTGCTGGAATTTGGTGACGTTCCACTCACAGAACAGGGCTGGACCCAAGACGCTAAGGATGGCCATTTCCATGGAGTCCGACATCCAGCAAAGTCCCACCAAGAGCGACAGCTTGACGTGAAACCATCCGAAGCCGAAGGCATTGATCGCCTGCTGAACAGTGTAGGTATCTGTGAAAGGTGCGCTTGTTACCCGAAATGTGTGAAATTCTTCGGACCACTTACCATCCGGATTTATAGACACCGTCTTCAGCTCCAAAGTGGATGCGTGCACCTCCCGTGGGGCGATGTTTCCAGCGGGTGAATGGGCGGCTGGCTCGTTGTTCAGATAGTACATCTTGCGGCCTAGAAGCACTTAGGAGAGTCACTGGGTCAACGAACTGCCACTCCCTGATTTACACTAAAATCCCACTATTTCAAATACCATATTTATTAACCCGCGATGGGCGTTTTTAATGCTACTTTATGATATTATACCTTCTTCAACCGTAAAGAAAGTTATTCCCGATTTCAAGACTGTGATTTATGTCTTCGAATGCAGATACACCCAGTTATATCCATTTTATTCGAACATATCCGAATAGGCGAGCTTCGATTTAGTTCTGATTAGGGAAACACAAAAATGTAGTACCACAACAAAAACTTTCTCAAGCACTTTCTTTTCGCCAGTAAGAAACTGAGAATCAGATGCAATGTAAACAACGCGCATACAACACCACCGATTCTCCCAAACTGGTTATAAGGTAACGACTGAAGACTGTCTTCCAGACTGTTGGTTCGATAACGATAGAAGGCGCGCAGCTCGACGCTATTCAAAATCCAACTATAGATTTGAATTATTAATTATACCCGTTACTCGTGGAGATTCTAGAGATACTAGATTCGTTGAAAAGTATGTAACAGGCAGAAGGAAGCGTTTCCGACCATATAAATATAATATAACCATAACGACCATATAATAATAATATATAAATATAATATATATTCATGATCAGGATCAATAGATCTATGATGAACAACTCAAGTTACTGAGAACTACAAAAAACTATCACGGCCACACTTTTAAACAATTCAAATTTATAAATTTATTTTTTTTAATTTTTTTTTAATTTGTTGATGTGATGATGTAGAAATTCAAAAAAATTAGGAAATGTCCTAAGGCTGAAGTTCTGAACTCCATAACTCAACTTATCTTATTCGGATTTTGAAGTGGCATACCTCTAAATGTTTGTGGTGCAATTATCTAAAAAACTGCATTCAAATTTAAAAATTTATTTTTTTTAAATTTTTTTGTAATTTTTTTTCACATGATGTAGAAATTCAAAAACATTAGGAAATGTCCTAAGGCTGAAGTTCTAAACTCCATAACTCAACTTATCTTAATCGGATTTTGAAGTGGCATACCTCTAAATGTTTGTGGTGCAATTATCTAAAAAACTGCATTCAAATTTAAAAATTTATTTTTTTTACATTTTTTTGTAATTTTTTGATGTGATGTAGAAATTCAAAAACATTAAGAAATGTCCCAAGGCTGAAGTTCTAAGCTCCATAACTCAACTTATATTAATCGGATTTTGAAGTGGCATACCTCTAAATGTTTGTGGTGCAATTATCTAAAAAACTGCATTCAAATTTAAAAATTTATTTTTTTTACATTTTTTTGTAATTTTTTTTGACATGATGTAGAAATTCAAAAACATTAAGAAATGTCCCAAGGCTGAAGTTCTAAGCTCCATAACTCAACTTATATTAATCGGATTTTGAAGTGGCATACCTCTAAATGCTTGTGGTGCAATTATCTAAAAAACTGCATTCAAATTTAAAAATTTATTTTTTTTAGATTTTTTTGTAATTTTTTGATGTGATGATGTAGAAATTCAAAAAAATTAGGAAATGTCCTAAGGCTGAAGTTCTAAACTCCATAACTCAACTTATCTTAATCGGATTTTGAAGTGGCATACCTCTAAATGTTTGTGGTGCAATTATCTAAAAAACTGCATTCAAATTTAAAAATTTATTTTTTTTACATTTTTTTGTAATTTTTTTTGACCTCATGATGTAGAAATTCAAAAACAATAAGAAATGTCCCAAGGCTGAAGTTCTAAGCTCCATAACTCAACTTATATTAATCGGATTTTGAAGTGGCATACCTCTAAATGCTTGTGGTGCAATTATCTAAAAAACTGCATTCAAATTTAAAAATTTATTTTTTTTACATTTTTTTGTAATTTTTGATGTGATGATGTAGAAATTCAAAAAAATTAGGAAATGTCCTAAGGCTGAAGTTCTAAACTCCATAACTCAACTTATCTTAATCGGATTTTGAAGTGGCATACCTCTAAATGTTTGTGTTGCAATTATCTAAAAAACTGCATTCAAATTTAAAAATTTATTTTTTTTACATTTTTTTGTAATTTTTTTGATCTCATGATGATGTAGAAATTCAAAAACATTAAGAAATGTCCTAAGGCTGAAGTTCTGAACTCCATAACTCAACTTATCTTAATCGGATTTTGAAGTGGCATACCTCTAAATGTTTGTGGTGCAATTATCTAAAAAACTGCATTCAAATTTAAAAATTTATTTTTTTTACATTTTTTTGTAATTTTTTGATGTGATGATGTAGAAATTCAAAAAAATTAGGAAATGTCCTAAGGCTGAAGTTCTAAACTCCATAACTCAACTTATCTTAATCGGATTTTGAAGTGGCATACCTCTAAATGTTTGTGGTGCAATTATCTAAAAAACTGCATTCAAATTTAAAAATTTATTTTTTTTAATTTTTTTTTAATTTTTTGATGTGATGATATTCAAAAACATTAAGAAATGTCCCAAGGCTGAAGTTCTAAGCTCCATAACTCAACTTATATTAATCGGTTTTTGAAGTGGCATACCTCTAAATGTTTGTGGTGCAATTATCTAAAAAACTGCATTCAAATTTAAAAATTTATTTTTTTTACATTTTTTTGTAATTTTTTTGATCTCATGATGATGTAGAAATTCAAAAACATTAAGAAATGTCCTAAGGCTGAAGTTCTGAACTCCATAACTCAACTTATCTTAATCGGATTTTGAAGTGGCATACCTCTAAATGTTTGTGGTGCAATTATCTAAAAAACTGCATTCAAATTTAAAAATTTATTTTTTTTACATTTTTTTGTAATTTTTTGATGTGATGATGTAGAAATTCAAAAAAATTAGGAAATGTCCTAAGGCTGAAGTTCTAAACTCCATAACTCAACTTATCTTAATCGGATTTTGAAGTGGCATACCTCTAAATGTTTGTAGTGCAATTATCTAAAAAACTGCATTCAAATTTAAAAATTTATTTTTTTTAAATTTTTTTGTAATTTTTTGATGTGATGATGTAGAAATTCAAAAAAATTAGGAAATGTCCTAAGGCTGAAGTTCTAAACTCCATAACTCAACTTATCTTAATCGGATTTTGAAGTGGCATACCTCTAAATGTTTGTGGTGCAATTATCTAAAAAACTGCATTCAAATTTAAAAATTTATTTTTTTTACATTTTTTTGTAATTTTTTGATGTGATGATATTCAAAAACATTAAGAAATGTCCCAAGGCTGAAGTTCTAAGCTCCATAACTCAACTTATATTAATCGGTTTTTGAAGTGGCATACCTCTAAATGTTTGTGGTGCAATTATCTAAAAAACTGCATTCAAATTTAAAAATTTATTTTTTTTACATATTTTTGTAATTTTTTTGATCTCATGATGATGTAGAAATTCAAAAACATTAAGAAATGTCCTAAGGCTGAAGTTCTGAACTCCATAACTCAACTTATCTTAATCGGATTTTGAAGTGGCATACCTCTAAATGTTTGTGGTGCAATTATCTAAAAAACTGCATTCAAATTTAAAAATTTATTTTTTTTACATTTTTTTGTAATTTTTTGATGTGATGATGTAGAAATTCAAAAACATTAAGAAATGTCCCAAGGCTGAAGTTCTAAGCTCCATAACTCAACTTATATTAATCGGATTTTGAAGTGGCATACCTCTAAATGTTTGTGGTGCAATTATCTAAAAAACTGCATTCAAATTTAAAAATTTATTTTTTTTACATTTTTTTGTAATTTTTTGATGTGATGATGTAGAAATTCAAAAAAATTAGGAAATGTCCTAAGGCTGAAGTTCTAAACTCCATAACTCAACTTATCTTAATCGGATTTTGAAGTGGCATACCTCTAAATGTTTGTGGTGCAATTATCTAAAAAACTGCATTCAAATTTAAAAATTTATTTTTTTTACATTTTTTTGTAATTTTTTTGATCTCATGATGATGTAGAAATTCAAAAACATTAAGAAATGTCCTAAGGCTGAAGTTCTGAACTCCATAACTCAACTTATCTTAATCGGATTTTGAAGTGGCATACCTCTAAATGTTTGTGGTGCAATTATCTAAAAAACTGCATTCAAATTTAAAAATTTATTTTTTTTACATTTTTTTGTAATTTTTTGATGTGATGATGTAGAAATTCAAAAACATTAAGAAATGTCCCAAGGCTGAAGTTCTAAGCTCCATAACTCAACTTATATTAATCGGATTTTGAAGTGGCATACCTCTAAATGTTTCTGGCGCAATTATCTAAAAAACTGCATTCAAATTTAAAAATTTATTTTTTTTAATTTTTTTGATGTTATTGGTTGTGATGGTTATTTGAAAGCATTCCCTAAAATAACTAAATAGGCTGCTTGTCAAAGCCTTATACCTACAATTATTAGGTTTACCCAAGCCAAACAACACTTGTTTTTAAGAATTGTAGATCAGAGCTCCACTATCACATCGCGATGGACCTGGATTCCTGCCAAAATTTCTCATTAGACTCCACGAGTAGCTCGCACTTTGTTCCTCCGCCAGTTTGCGTTCCCAGAAGGAAGAAGCCGGAGAAGCCTCCAGTTGAGGAGGCATCTCCCGAATGCTCCAACGTGATCACATCGACATCCTCGTCCTCGACAACCACCATATCCATAGGCGCCTTTGATTCGCAATGCAACCTCCACAATGCCCGCAATCCCGAGGCCCCGAATATTGGCTATGAGTTGAATGTGGCCAAGTCCATATTGCAGAAGTACAGCACTCTCAGTGGGGACAACCTGTGAGTTTCCTTCATTAAGATAAAGATCATATAAGATATCGTCACAAGTACTTGGTACTCCAAAGAAATCTCGGTTAACCATGTAACTACTCGACCTCATCCGCACAGGTTCGATCATCTTAGTGATATCATAAAGAGGGTGATTGACGAACGTCCTCCCAATGTGATAGACTTCTTCGAGGAGTTCAGCCGAAATGTTCGCGAACAGAAGTTTCACTTGCCAGAACGCTTTCCGCCCAGTGGGGTGTTCGATGAGGTGCGCAGCTTCCGGGTGGCCAAGAAAATTCTCCAATCCATGAAGGTTAGCAACTGATATGTATATAAGGATCTACACCACTTAACCCCTTTCGCATAGCTGCCGTACATCGTCGAAGGCGAGGATCTGATGGGCGAAGACTTGTCCGTTGAGGATTTGAGGACGAACGAGGAACTGCGCATCGTCATCGACGATTCCATGCGCTACTTCGTCACTTTCAACGAACGAGTCCAGCAACTGCAGTTCTACTGGACACAGTGCGGTTTTAGCATCAGCAACGACGACATCTTCCAGCTGGCCAGCGCCATGAACCGGCTCCAGACCCATCCCTCGATCATGCAGTGCAGATTCTGGGGCTGCATCAACGGGCTGAAGGCCTCCTACTACATAGTGGAGGCTTCGCTGACGCGCGAGGAAATCGCCTCTCGCTTGGTCATGATGGAGGATGAGATCCGCCAGAAACAGATTCCCTTCCAGATGCGCAATGACAGGGAGGATAAGCCCCCGCCGCCACATATTGGACCGGAGCTCACGCCGGGCATCTATGGCTGGGAGGATTTTCCGCCCGAGGAGCTGGAGAAGATGAGGCCCAAGGCTGCGCCCGTTCCCTTGGTGGAGGAAATGGAGTTCTACGACATTCCACCGGAGTTCATTGGCAAGGGGTGCAATAGGTACACCTATTTCGTTGTGAATTCGCTCTTTGACGACTGGATCGAGCTCCCCATAGTGACTCCTCGACAGATTGTCGTGTCACGGCAGATCAAGAAGTTTCTAACAGGCGATCTGGAGGCGGATGTCATTTCCTACCCCTGCTTTCCTGGAAAGGAGAAACATTACCTGCGGGCCCTGATAGGTCGCATCACCGCGGGTACCTACATTGCTCCTATGGGCTACTACAGGCGGATGACCAAGAAGGAGAAGCGGATGTTCGATGGCGAGGAAGAGGACGAGGGTGAGGAGGAAGAGGAGGAAGAAGAGGAGGAGGAGTTCAACGAAGGCGAGGAGGAGCAAATAGAAGGTGAGCATATGACATATTCACTGTTCGCATAGCAGTACCCCAATATTTTGCAGATAACGATGTAATGCTCCTGAAAAACGAGAAGTACGAGGTAGAACCCCTGGGATCTCTGGTCACTCCAGTGGCCTGGGTGCATGTCAGGTCGAATATTCTCAACCAACAAGGCCGCGTTGTCTGGTACGACGAGGAGAAGGCCCGCAAGGAGCGGGAAAAGGCATTGGCCCTGTACCTGAAAATGCAGATGATGGGCGAGATGGAAGAGGAGGTGGAGGAGGAGGAGGAAGAGGAGGAAGGCGAGGAGGAGGGCGAGGAAGAGGGCATGATCGAGGGCTTCAATCAACCCGAGTTAGGTCCCAGCATCCTCTCCTCCTGCGCTAATGACATGAACCCCGAGATTCCCGTTGCCTGGCTCGCCCGCATGACCAGCAAGTATACGAATCAGAAGGAGCGAATGCTCGTGATGCAGTCGAACATCTGGCCGGGCGCCTACACATTCATCTTTGAGAAGACTTGCGAATCCATATACTTGGGCTGGGGCCACAAGTACTACGCCCGCAACATTCCATTCAAGCACTTGCCGATAGTGCAGGAGGAGTTCCCCCACAACCCAGAGGACTTCATCGAGGCCAATGATCCGACTGTCGAGGATGAGGAAGCGTACAAGGCTTGGCTCCTCAGGAAGCAGCAGAAGGCCGAGTATGTGGCTGAAGATATCGAAGATTACGATGATGACGAGTTCGCCGATCAGTATGACGATGACTGAATTGAATTAAATTGATTGTTTTTTGTTCCCTTTGAAGTTCTGCAATAAAATGTATTAGCTGCGTTTACTTGTGAGCTTTAGTTTGATTTATTACTTGCAAATAAAATACATATCGTGTATCTAAAGTGAATAAAGTTGGACTTACACTTACTTCGCTCCCTTATGTACATTTACTCTTTCTAAACGGACTTTAAAAGTAAACTTAACTGCTTAACTGAAATCACACGTGCACATCGTCATCCTATAAATCGTCATTAAGTTAAATAGCTCTTCGAACCATATGTACATTGCAGTTTTCGTGTGAATAAATGTAAATGTAATTTAGTTATCGTTGGCTGTAACTCCGACACATGGAACCCATGAGGTCTTAATGGCTAAATACGGAATCGAACAAATTTGGTAATACAACGGGCATCACTTGGCAATGCAGCAGCTTACAGCTTCAGGGATTCCTGGAGCTTCACTGTGGCATTTGCAGACGGCTTTATGACTTCCTGCTTGGCGGCAATCGCTTCGGGCTGTAATCAAACGTTGAAACTCTATAGAAGATAAGCCATCATACGTATATTATATATATACCTTGGGAACTACGGGGTCGTCTTCGCTGCTGGCAGCTTTAATATTTCCCATGCTCTGAATGCAAAAGTTCTTCAGCTGATCCACGGAGGCAGCCAGCATATTATTCTTGTTGTTTGCCAGCGTTATCTGGAGTTAATCAAGTTTAGTATGTCTCGACCCATAATCACGTACGCCGTTCACCTACCTCTTTTTCAATTTTCTCTAAAGACTCATCGAAACTGGTTACTTTCTGCTTATATTCCGGCCAACTGTTACTTATTGTGGCCACATGGGACGTTATGTTTTCAGATCGATCCAGTAGGTCGTCTATTTTCGTCTGCAATAAATAACGCAAATTAGGGCTGATAACGCTGCCGAATTTTGGAAGAGATAACCTTGTGCAAAGATATTTCCTCGCTGAGGATTTTCGTTGTTTGACTTAGGGTATTGTTCACATTCTTCAGATCGTTGGCCAGTAGTTTAAGGGAACTTAAAGTGGTTTTGTTCAGCGCAGCAATATCATCCGATAAGTTTGCAGGCAAAGCGTTGGACTGAAGCGTGGGCAGTTGCGAGAGATTGAGCTGCAGAGGTATCATATTTATTACTGTGTCAATACTCAGATAATCAGATTCAAGGACCTACCTTTAAGGCTTCTGTGTCGGCCTGCAGTGTTTTCTGCACCTCGGTGTACTTGTTGTAGTGCTCCTTGACGGCCTCTATGTCGGTGGCCACGGCTTCTATCTTGGCCCCGAAGTCAGCCACCAACTTCTCGTCCTGTCCGTGGTTTCTCTGCGCTGCCACGGCCGCCTCCAGATTGCTAAAGTTATTCCGCAGGCTCTCCATAGATTTTTGCAGGTCATTTATTTCCGAAATGACGGCTGTTTGGTTTTTCAGCAGGTAAGACGAAGTCTCGTGCCATCTTTGGAGGGTGTCCGGGAAGTTCTTGCTCATGGCAGACACTGAAATATTACATAATTGAGGACGCACTGTGCGTAGCAGACTGTCAAAATCATACCCTCTTCGATCTTCTGGCGATAGTCGGTGAGTTGCTGGCGCAGATCGAAGTAGAGCCAGTACAAAATGCCCACAATCAGAACGCCCATAATGCCTAATAAAAGCGGGCCGCACATGCGGAAATAGGCTATTTTTCGATGGCTGCGGCGACTACCAGCGACATTTGTCTGAAAAGAGCGCAATATTATTGGGTTGCTACATATTTCACTCTTTGTATGGTGGGAGGCACATATAAGCATGTATGTACGTATAAATTCCCGATGAATGTGTATCTTTAGATACGCGTTAGCTGGGAAAGTTCAATTGGGCAGGTTCAGATAGATAGATACAAATACAGCTAACCTTGTACTTGATCGAGTATGTAAGTGGCTGTGGATGTAAGCAGCAAGTAACGTAAAAATACCTTACCCATGCGTAATCCTCAGGGTCGTCGGTCGAGACGGAGAGCAGCTTGTCCTGGGAGTTGGTGGCTCCGGGGACTCTCCGGTTGGCTCTCTTGCCCGAGGACGACTGGGAGGCTATCAGGGCGTCCAGCTCCCGACGCTTCTTCATTTTCTTTCCGGCCCGCAGGGGCACCTCAATGCGATGGTGGCAGTCCATGGGGTCGTCTTCTAGAAAATCTGGTCTCCAGTGGAATTCTTGAATTCGGTCGCAGGCCCAAGCTATTACATTTTCTCAGCGTAGTCCAGTGGCTTTTGTAATTCTGGAGCAACCATAACATGTACTTATACTGATAAAAAAGATACTTCTGCGCATGATTTAAGATTACGGTGATTAAGATTAATCGCTGGTTATCGATAGACGGATTCAAGTTATTTTGAAAATAAAATTGAGTGCTAATCCTATTTATACCTTCAAAATGCGCTGTTTCTGAGCTACATTTAACTCTGATCGTCCGGAGTGCGTCCAAAAATTTGACCCAAAAAAATGGGGGCGTTCGATAAGTTTGGCAATTTGCGGATTCACAATAACGGTCTCACTGCCCCCAAAAGACTTGCATTGATTTTTACGCTGTGCTCGCTTTATCGATCTAGTTTAATTAAGTTCATAGCCGTCAAAAATGTTCTGTGCGCTTCTGCTCGTTAGCTCAGAGTTTCCGTTTAGTGTTTTCTAACGTTTGGCTCCGCATGGGATATATGTTCGTTGATGCTGACGTACTGTTGCAATAGGTGCTCCTCCGCTGATTTCGAAATGGCCAAGAACAGCTTTAAGACTTTAATCAGCCAGAAACACAAAACGTTTCCGGCGGACCTCAATATGTACGGAATGAAGTGTAAATCGCAGCTGCTGGAGGATCAGGAGAACGTGACCCTGATCATCAATCGGCGGAACTCAATCCGCCAGAAGCCGAAGAATTGGGCTTGGACCCTGCTGCGTTGCAGGTGGCAAAAGAAGCTAGTTCTCTTGTTAATATTTATTTGTGTGTGCGTTCTGATTGTTTTCGCCAACACGCATCTCTTGGTTCGCGGCAACATCCTCTCGGCCTTCCTCTCGAGCCGACTTACCAAGCACTCGCACGCGGAGAAGCAGGAGGCGAGGTATCCCGACATCCAGGCCACGACCCCGGCAGTTCCACCGGTGCTGAGGCCCACGCACTACCTTCTCAACTACACCGCCACCCAGCTGGAGCTGGGCTCGCACTTGAACGGCCTATCCTCAGACTACAACATATTCGTCATATACACCCGGGAGAACTACCATCTGAACCTGAAGTTCGACCTGTTCGCCCACAGCTTGCTAAAGCACACCAGTGCCCAGTTGCACCTGCACGTGATCACGGACAGCGAGAGCCAGCCCTCGGTGCTGGAGATCCTGCAGCGGCAGATCCGACGGTTCCGGCGGACGGTAATATACACCATATACGACGTGAAGGTCTGCTCCAGCATCATACAGGACATAGCCGCCAAGTTGTCCCCGTACTTCAGCTCAACCCCGAACTCGTACTACAGCGACTCCCTCTTTTTCCTGTCCCTCGGCCTCCACAGGATCGCCGACAGGAACCTGAACAGAGCCATTCTGCTAGATTGTGATATAGTCTTCCGATCCGATGTCCGACTGCTGTTCAACGAGTTCGACAACTTTTTGCCGCACCAGCTTTACGGACTGGCGCCGGAACTGACCCCCGTCTATCGCCATATCCTTTACCGCTACCGCGTGCGCTATCCGAAGACTAGTTTCGGAAATCCCTACTATCCGATCAACAACGAAGGGGGCAACCAACACAGCCGTGTCCACCATGGTTATCCTGGCCTGAACTCCGGCGTGGTACTGCTGCTCCTCAACCGCATCCGGAACTCAAAGTCCTATCTGGAGAAGCTGACCCACACGGAGGTGCACACTCTAGTCGCCAAGTACTCCTTCAAGGGCCACCTCGGCGACCAGGACTTCTTCACCCTGCTGGGATACGAGTACCCAAACTTGATCTACAGACTGGATTGCATTTGGAACCGCCAGCTGTGCACCTGGTGGAAGGATCACGGATACTCACAGATATTCGACGCTTATTTCCGGTGCGAAGGCAATATTAAAATGTATCATGGCAACTGTAATACGCGAATTCCAGAATAAATAAAATTGTTATAGGAATATTGAATAAATTAACTTTAAAGGTTTTCTTTGGCAGAACAATTGAATGTGGGTAAAATAATCGGCATAATGTAACATTATGTAATATGATTTCAATCTTAGATTAGAGGACAATATGTGAAATTTAGACTTAGAACGGAATGAAAAAGATACAAGGGAACCCCTAAACCTGCTATTAATATTTTACTAGCTATTTTTCAAATTCATATTTCAGCGATGTAACAATGTTATCGATAGGTGAGAAGCAAGAGAGTGGGAACACGCCGATTTCGTGGTCAAATTCGCACAGGGTGCTTCGTGTGAGTGATTTCGCATCTTGTTTCTTATCTTTAACCTTCATTTCTGGCTTGGTTTAGCTATGAATTAGGAGCAGACCCGAATAATCAGTCGAGCATATACAGTTAACGATGGCGCCTAATGCAGCAGTACCAGTGGAGCGATATGAGCCCCAGACCCTCGGGATCAACGCTATTCTCCTGGGGCCACCGGGCTCCGGCAAAGGGACGCAGGTGGGTCCAAAGTTACATAATGATGTGTTTTTGGTGATACGGACGCCATATAGTCTATAAATAAATACAACGTGTTCAAGTGCGCGATTTTTGTTTGCAAATATGCCATGAAACTAGTAAGTTCGTTTGGAATTGAAACTAGTGAAGTTATATAAGACGATGTGTACACGGAAATTTGAATGTACATATGTACTTAATATGTACATACATATGCTTCAAATGGTGTCTTTCTCTTGACCCTGAATCAAATCAAAACCTTGGCGAGATGTGGCGAATTAAGTGGGACACATTTAAGCAATCAAGTGGGTATTATGTAGACCATCTATTAAAAGCCTACCAGAACATTCCCGGCCACAAGAAATGCATCTTATCTAGCCGGTCGCTAATTGCTTACCTTCCGACGATTTGGTGCTATATTGATTAGCTTCAACTGAAACTTATCAATGTTTTTAATTATGCCCAATTTAGGCTCCCCTGCTGAAGGAGAAGTTCTGCGTGTGCCATCTGTCCACTGGCGACATGCTGCGGGCGGAGATTTCATCCGGCTCCAAACTGGGAGCCGAGTTGAAGAAGGTCATGGATGCCGGCAAACTGGTCTCCGACGAACTGGTCGTTGACATGATCGACTCCAACCTGGATAAGCCTGAGTGCAAGAACGGATTCCTCCTGGACGGATTCCCCAGGACTGTCGTTCAAGCTGAGAAGGTAGTAACACGCGTGAAGCACTTTGTATTCTGGAGTCTAACCCGTTCGATGTGTTCTTTCCAGCTCGACACATTGCTGGACAAGAGGAAAACCAACTTGGATGCTGTCATCGAGTTTGCCATCGACGACAATCTGTTGGTGAGGCGCATCACTGGCCGCTTGATCCACCAGGCCAGCGGGCGTTCCTATCACGAAGAGTTTGCCCCTCCAAAGAAGTCAATGACGGACGATGTAAGTTCCTCTATAGGACTCTCGCCAAAATCCCTAAATGACATATCGTTTACTTGCAGGTCACTGGAGAACCCCTAATCCGTCGCAGCGATGACAACGCTGAGGCTCTGAAGAAGCGACTGGAAGCATATCACAAGCAGACAAGACCACTGGTCGACTACTACGGCCTGAGAGGTCTGCACTTCAAGGTCGATGCTGCCAAAAAGTCCAGTGACGTCTTCTCCGCCATCGACAATATATTCCAACGCAAGCGTTCTGCCCAGATCCAATTATGATTTGTTCCTGCGCAATGATCAACTACTGATAACTGCCTCCTGACAATTTATTTTGAGACACACACACAACGTTTAAGCCTAAAGTTAAAGTTGCATCCGGGAATCCTGAACAGACGAAATTACCTTTGCAGGTCGACTACTTTCCTTGTACAGATTTCTAAAATGTATAAGTGTTTGTTACTTTTTACATTTCACTATTTGTAACTACAATACAACTTAATAAAAAAAAAAAAGAAAACTAAATTTTACGAAACATGAATGATTTAAACTGGGCTGCGTTCAAATGGGAGATGGATTTCGGACAACAACGCCAAGTTTAAACTTCCCACAAATCATTTCCGGTTAACTTCTGGAATATGACTCAGTTTCGAATCGAGGCTTAAACGTGTGATGGAAAGCTACTAATTGTTTTGAGAACTATTACAATCAAGTTTAAAACGACTATTGAAGGGTCATTTTGCGCGATCTCAAGTGTAGTAAATGAGAAATTGCTAATGGAAATCGTTAACGAGATCGTTTGGAAAACTAATAACTTTTTATTAAGTCTTCTCGTCAATCGTGGTTGTGAATCCCTCACAGACCGACTTTCGATCCACGTTTAGTACTAAGACGTCACCTGGCTAATGTTAATGCCAAATTAAGTGTGTATAACTATCGCACATATATTATATAAATTAATAACGACGATTGACTAATCACTGGGTTGACTTTTCAGCAATAGCGATTTGCGCTTCAAAGTCTAAAGTGTGTGCAATCCTATATGGATACGAGCTGAGCCCGAACACAGGCTCACAACGCGGTGTGTGTATTACACTTGAAGTTCAATCCCAGGTAAAAAGTGGGCCCAGGTATAAAAGCCCACTTCATAGAAACATTTCTCAGTTAGTTCCAGCAGCTGAATTGCTTCACATCTACCCGCTTCGAGTCGCCATAAGTCGAGCTCCATTGTAAGACCGCCGTTCATAGTTTTTTGGAGCCGATCGGTTCGGGTGGCTGGTGGTATTCCACACACTCATGGACGAAGCCAGACGGGCAACCAGTTTCATTGTGTGCGAACAGAGACATCTTTTCAGTGCATGAATGTGTTTCAGATACGCATACAAAGTGGGCTTGCTATGCATTAATTTGCATACATATCTGATATGTCCGACAGACACATTTTGCGAATGCAGTCGCTCAATAACTAGTAAAAATATTTCCATCGCCCAATAAAATCCCCCGCTCACAAAACTGGTTGCCCGATCGACAGACCCACTAAGCCACAAACATACACGAGTCACCGAAAAGTGCTGATTAATCATGCATACTTACCCTAATTCGCCCACAGAAAACTCCACAATGAAGATGATAATTGCGCTTTTCGTCCTTGGACTGGTGCTGGTCGCCGCCGATGATAAGTACACCACCAAGTACGACAACATAGATGTGGACGAGATCCTGAAGTCTAACCGCCTCTTCGGAAACTACTTCAAGTGCCTGGTGGATACCGGAAAGTGCACGCCCGAAGGCCGGGAGCTGAAGAAGTCCCTGCCGGACGCCCTGAAGACGGAGTGCAGCAAGTGCAGCGAAAAACAGCGCCAGAACACCGACAAGGTCATCCGCTACATCATTGACAACAAGCCCGAGGAGTGGAAGCAGCTGCAGGCCAAGTATGATCCTGAGGAGATCTACATCAAGCGCTATCGCGCCACCGCCGAGGCCTCTGGAATCAAGGTGTAACTCCCATCCCAGTTCAGGAAGCAATTTGTTATGTGCACTGTTAATTAGGTCTACGTCTATCTGTTCATCAAAATTATGTCTACGATCGTGCTCCGAATAAAGAGATTTGTTTTTTACCATACACCAGCGAAGTATCTCGTTCTAAGGGGGGTCTTACCAGGTTTCAGTAAGCATATCAATTACCTATGACAAATGTAGTCTAGTCTCTTGCGACTATAATGATGATTAATCTAAGAACAATTAAGGTCTTAGAAAAAAATATTCACAAAATTACGACTAGACCCTAATAAGCGGCTTTTATATGGCGGCGATTTGCATTAACATTGACAATAAAGGCAGCTACGTTAGTTGGCAAAAACATCGCGTGTTTGTCTTGGTTCTGAGTAATTACTTATATTATTCTTAAAAGGGGCAATGAATCAAATCCAATGGCCGCAAGTAACTCAACCATGAAAACCGTCCTTCAAAGAACGAACAATGTACAGCGAATTATTAATGTCAGGGCAAATTCACATCGTGAATAAAAAAAAATTAAATATTATATCAGTATTTTAATTACTTATAAATGTACAAAGCTTAGTGTAAAGTTGTGGGCAGCGTTTACGTTAATGTTTCCCCTTGGGCGACACACGCCTCCAGATAGTCTATGCGTCGCTCCAGGATAGTTAATTTTTCGTTCAGCACCGCCAGGCGGGAGCGACAGGACATATCTGAAAGGAAATGTTCGGAAATGATGATAAAATAAAGAACATTAAGTTAATAATATAATGTGTTAATATAAAAATACATAGATTATATTAAGGAAACTTTTAAAAGGGCCCATTTAGTTTGTTATACATAGTTTGCGATACCTTCCATCGCTGTAAGAATTATAATTTACTGATTTAGTTATACTGTATATTATTTACATGTTTTTAGGTCGTCTATAAAGTTAGCTACTGTAGGAAAAATTAGGTCGTATTTGCATGACTTGCGAATCCAACTACCTCGCACTCTTTGGCTTATCATTTATCACGGTATTTAGCGTGCTTTAAATTATTCATAGAAGAACCGAGAGCTTACCCAATTTAAGTGACTAATGCGGATAGAGATAAAACCGACATCTCGTTTTGAGCCCTATTCCGCATACATATGCGATATGTAGATACATATATTGTTATACATATATACTACTCGCACAATCAATCGTTTCTATTGATTTAAGGCCCGAGCAAATAAAGTCAGTGTCACTAATGAATATTTGTTAGTAATATTATTTATGCGTTCACCCACACCACCAATTCAAGTGTGAATAAAACACGCACACACACACACACACATTCGAGGGATGTGGGTGCCTTGTGAGCAGGTTGCTTACCGAAAGAGTTCAGAAAGTCGGTGATTCGCTTTATGCTGGCAGTTATCACTTCGATATACTCCCTGTTCGCCCAGTCCTGGTGTATTTGCTTTTGGATCGCCTCTCTGTGAGCCCCACTCATCTTTATTTATTCTTATTGTTTCTGTTCGTCTTAATTGTGTTTATCTAGAGAGGAGAGATGAGATGGGCCGGAACAATTATCGATGTATATTTTTAACTATCGATAATTACACTTTATCGATCCTATCACATACATCGTTCACCGACTATCGGTTACCCTCCTCGGCTATTTTAAAAATATGTATAATCAGTTTATTCTTACTCCCCCAGTTAATTTTTGATTGATAATTATACCTTCTATTAATATAAAAGACTACTTTAAAAAGAATCTTTACAGATTTGTGAGGAGTAACAAACAATTTAAATTTACCGACGAGCTACATTAGGCGCAAATATTCTAAGTCGTTTTACAACACTTCCTTAGCTCTTTTATGTTGAGCAGAACTAATATTTAAATAGTGGGCGGGAAAGCGCGAAGAAATAATTTAATTAATTTGTCTGCCAAAAATAGCGGGTAAATATGAATAAAGAAATACATATATTAGTGTAATGGATTAACACAGCCGAACAAATAAACCAAAAGCCTGAGAAACGTATCGCTGCAAAATCTGTATATATTCTTATTTTGCTTTTGTTTGTACATAACGTTGGTTATTTTTGGGTTTCAAATTATATTTATTAAAGAATTACTGGAAGCCAGCGATGTATGTACCCATTTTGCGTTCTGATTCCGCGTGTTCCTGGCGGAACGTACCGAACGAAACGATAGCTATTGATGCCACTCACGCACACATGCATAAACTAGGTGGCCCCGTAAACTACAGTGTTTTTCATTTGGTAAACAAAAAATGGACTTTATCGACGACTTCATCGAGGAATACAAAAGCAATCCGTGCTTGTGGAAGGCGGACTCGGCGGACTTCAGGAACCGCAGCCGCCGGCAGGAGGCCTACGCGAAGCTCATCGAGGTGGCCACCAAGCACGGGGAGATGTACAATGTGGAACGAACAAAGCAAAAGATAAACAATCTGCGCTGTGCATTTCGTCATCAGCTGAGAAAGTACAACGAGGTCAAGAAAAAGGGCGAGAAGTACGAGCCCTACTGCCCCAAGCGCCGCTACTTCGAGTCCTTGATGTTCCTGAAGGACGAAGAGATCCCCACCGACAAAAAGTGCAAACGCGAACAGTCGGTCTGCCTGGAGAACTCTGGGCAGCTAGCGGCGCCAGAGAACTGCGACGAGTTCTCCGACGCCGAGAGCCTGTCCAAGCCCCCGAAGTCGTCGGCAGATCTGAGCAAGCTGTCACCCAACAACAGCGCCAACGAATTCTGTGCCAACATCTTCGAGGAGGCCACCGCCGCCGCTGACCACGTTATCAGTATTAAAACAGTCAACAACGCCAACAGCCATGCAAGTGGCGCTACAATCAAGGAGGTTGAAATCGTGGTCCCTGCTAACAACAGGCTGTTGTCCGCCCGCAGAAAATCCGTACCCGACGCCATTAAGTCTCCACCCGGCGACTCCGAATCGCCGCAGTGCAAGCGCATCGGCGCCCAGAACCAGACGAAACTTATCAGTAATCTGAGCCCGATCCTGAAACCCAATCATATCATCCGGAAAAGGTCCTCCTCGGTCTCGTCGCAGATTTCAGAGGACAACGAGCCACCCCCAGGTAAATTCCGGGCGGACATTTCCACCATTGACTTTGAGCGTCTCTTTTCGCTGGCTCTGAAGAGTGCGGACAGCCAGCTGGATGACCACTTCTCCAACTTCGGAAAAATTATCGCTCACAAGCTTCGATCCATGGACGGAACACAGGCTATCTATGCAGAAAAGATCATCGCCGATGTGCTGTATCAGGGCCAGATGAAAATGCTGTCCTCGCTGAGTATACACCAGTTTATGGCCGTGGACAATACAACAGTTTACCTGGAGAGCCACAGTAAATGATGGCCTGGCCCCTTTAAAGACGTACTTTTAGAGTTTATGTAATAATAAGATGTAAAGAGACAGTCATGTGTACAAAGACATGTTTTATTTAAAGGAGGGATTTCTTTCAGCTGCCTAATCCTTAGAAAATCCCCTAAGCTACCAAACCAAATGCTAGG